TTTCCCATTGAGTATGATATTGGCTGTAGGTCTCTCATATATGGCCTTTATTATTTTGAGAAATGCTCCCTGTATTCCCACTTTGCTGAGTGTTTTTATCATAAATGGGTGTTGTACCTTATCGAAAGCTTTTTCCGCATCTATTGATATGATCGTGTGATTTTTGTCTTTGCTTTTGTTTATGTGATGTATTACATTTACTGATTTGCGAATATTGAACCATCCTTGCAACCCTGGGATGAATCCCACTTGGTCATGGTGTATGATTTTTTTGATATATTGTTGGATGCGATTTGCCAATATTTTGTTGAGGATTTTAGCATCTATGTTCATCAGCGATATTGGCCTGAAGTTTTCTTTCTTTCTTGTGTCTCTATCTGGTTTTGGGATTAAGATGATGCTGGCTTCATAAAAAGAATTTGGGAGTTTCCATCCTTCTGGATTTTTTGGAATAGTCTGTGGAGAATAGGGGTTAGCTCTTCCTTAAATGCTTTGTAGAATTCTCCTGTGAACCCATCTGGTCCAGAGCTTTTGTGTGATAGGAGTTTTTTTATTACTGCTTCAATTTCTTTTGCTGTTAGAGGTGTGTTTAGATTTTCTGCTTCTTTTTCACTGAGTTTCGGAAGATTGTATTTTTCTAGAAATGTGTCCATTTCCCCTAGGTTTTCAAATTTCTTGGCATACAGTTCTTCATAGTAATTTCTTACAATCCCTTCTATTTCTGTGGTATCAGTTGTAATCTCTCCTCTTTCATTTCTGATTGTGTTTCTTTGTGTCCTCTCTCTTCTTTTCTTGATGAGCCTACTTAAAGGTTTGTCTATTTTGTTTATCTTCTCAAAGAACCAACTCCTGGATTCATTGATCCTTAAAATTGTGCTTTTAGTTTCTATGTCATTTAATTCTACCAGGAATAGATCAGAGGGGTGGCATTAAATAAGAGGGAGATGAGGATGAAGAAGAACAAGGCGGGCTGCATGGGGGAAGGAACCACAAGTGCAGGACTGCAACCAGGTTCCATTGAGCCCAAATCACACACTAACTCACTTAGACTGTGGTCTCCTTTCCAGCTGCTATTAGCCATCATGCAGCAGGGCCTCTTGTTGGCCAAGAACCCAAAGGGGGAAACTGACACTCTCAACTGAAAGGGTGGGGTGGGAAAGGGGTGATGTCTGGTTTTGTCTTTGTTTTAGAATCACCGGTCTCCCCAGGAGCCTACTCACCCTACCCTGAGACGGGGTGTTCTCATTTCAGGGAACAGAAAGTCAGGGCACCCCTAACCTGTGCTCTTGCTTGTGGGAGAAGACAGAGAAAACGAGGCTTGTGAGATCCCAGGAGTGGAGCACGTGGGAAAGGGGAAGAGTCACAACCACCTGTGGTGCTCAAGATTGCCCCAGACCCTGAACCTGACTTTCCAGTCTTTCTGCAGCCCAGGCCCCTGGGCCCCACCACTCCTCCAGACCTTTGTGCCACTGCTCCCTCTGCTGCAGCAGCCCTCCCTCCTCATCTTCCTGTCCTCAAAGATCAGATTAAATGCTCCTGTCAGCCCCTCCACCCCCAGTCCCAACCTGGCGGAATCAATGCCCCTTCCTCTGGGCTAGCATGGTTGCTGTGAGCTCTGTGAAGACTAACTCCAGTGGCTCTGAGTATACTCCTGGCACAGCATGGGGACTCAGTACGTGTTTGTTGAATGAGTGAAGGATGAGGCTGGCCCAGGAGCCAACAGTGTCTTGTATTTCTGTGCAGTGTGTCAGTCAGTTCCCAGGCACTCCCTGCCTGGCCCCCCACCTGCCCCTGGACACCCATCCCTGTGAAAGGACTCAGCTCTGCCCCCACCCAGTGCCCAGCATAGTCCACTCTGCTCTTGGACACTCAACCCTTGCAGAGCCACGCCCTGCTCACCAATACATCTGGCCAGCCACCTGGGCTCTTTTTCCATGTCCCTCATCTCTGCACTTGGAGACTCATTTTGTTCACTTGGGGGAGGGGGCAGTAGAAGAGACAATGATGCCCAAGTCTCACAACCCATGAGTCTCCATTGTCTGGCCCTGATGAAAGTCCCCCAAATCCATCACTTCACCATCAAGGCATTTGCAGTTGCTTTTCTGAGATGTTCTACAGTGCAGGCCCTGACTGTGCCATTAGCAGCCCCCCAGCCTGCTGGCTGCCCTGAATCCCAGCTTTGTTCTACAGTCAGAGCCTTGGCCTAGAGAGGCGGGCGCCCTGAGGCTGCATTCCTGAGCTGTCTGGGAACTCTTTGGAACTGTCCTAAATGTGGTGCTCCATCCCCACCCCACTCAGTGACGTCTGCTCAGATACAGAGGAGGATTACATCAGGGTTGTGGACTTTCAGAACCAGAAGGGGCTTTGGAGAACACTGATTCAAAGTGTGGTCCCGAGACCTCCAGCATCAGCAGCATTTGGGAACAGGGTGAGCAACCATCCCAGTGTGCCCAGAATTATCCAGTTTAGCACTGAATGTATCTTATTCAGAGAAGTCCCTCACTCGGCCAATCAGAGGGTTGGTCACCCTGCCTAGGGGTCACTTCTCTAAGGTACCCCCACAAACTTAATGAACCTGAAAATCCTGGGGGTGGGGCTGAGTAATCTGTGTTTTAACAAGTTCTCCAGGTCATTCTTCTTTTTCGCTATCTAAAAACTTTCTTTGTATTAAAAACTTATTTGTTTTTAAAAGCATTAATGAAAGAAAAACAGAAAAGGTGTGGAGCAGAAGATACACATACCCCTTCGTAGTGCTCAGTGGGAAGGTGGCATTTTGGTTCTCTGTTTAGTGTTTTTATAAATGAAAAAAAAGCTAGTCAAAGGTCCCCCAAGCCCACGGCTGTTCTATTACCCACACCGCACCAAGAACAAGAACAGAGAGGACAAGAGAAAGAGTGGGGCCTCAGAGAGATTAGGTAACTTGGCCAAGGTCACACTGTTGGGAAATGACAGGCTAGTTTTCAGATCCAAGTGTCTGGCTCCAAGCTGGAACTGAGATTTCTTCAGGGCACCTGCCAGCACAGGACCCTATATGTAGTGGGGTGCAGTGGGGAAAGAGTGCTGAGCAGTGAGGATAGGAAACTGCTCTCAGCCATTAGATTGTGACTTCAGAGAGTTCACTTAAATATGTTTATCTTAACTCAGACATGAGTTTACTTCCTCATTCCTTCTGCAGAAGGTTGGATTAGAGTATGCCCAAAGGTTTCCCTTGCCCTGACCTTCTGTGATTCTATCTTCTCTACCACTAATGACTCGGATTTTGCCATTACTAATATGTTTCTTTTTGAAAAACCTTGCCTTGTGCCCGAACCCCTTTTATAAAATACAGTTTTCCTTTAGAGGGTCCTGACCCCTTGGTTTGCAGGTCTAGAGAATGTTCTGTGGCATGAGTCCAGTGTGCCCTGGTTGGTAGTGGAGGCAGGCAAATGGAGGACAGAATGCAGATGGGAGAGACCGGCCCCAAACAAACTGTCCATTTACTAATGGCCCACAGCGGCCCAGAGGCACCCCTGTCAGCCCCTCCTGCAGAATGGCCATGTAATACTTCCATTCTGGTCACCTAGCTGACCCCATCTATCACCACTTTTTTAAACTTTTTTATAGACTTCCTTTTCTTTCTCCTTTTGCATTTTTTCCACCAGCCTGTGTCCAGACTAAATTGGAGAAAAATGGATTTTCCCCTTTTTTAACAAGAAAACTAAAAGTCTTAAATTACCTCTGCAAATAGAAGTGCCAAATAAGACTGCCACCTTTTCTTTTCTCTCTTCCTCTCTCCCTGTCCCAGGAGCCTGTGAGCTGGAAATAAAAGTCAGAGCAGTGGCTCAGGAGGAAAAAAATCAGGACTTAGCCCAGCACCAGCCAAGGAGAGGAACAGGGTGGCAGGAGGGACCAAATGGAGGTGGGGAATGATGCAGAAGAGATGGGAATGAGTCAGACCAATGCCTCACTGCTGATTCTAGAGTAAAAGAGGTCCCCTAAAGGGAGCTACTCCTCTGTGAGTGAGTGTGTGTGCAGGCACTGGGGCAGGGAGCCCCAGAAGAGGACACCACACAGGCTGTTGCTCAGACTTACAGAGAAGCAAACAGGACCCTGGGCACAGTGAACCTTCTCCACCTTTGTCGTCAGCTGATATCACAGTTCCCAGAGAGTCCATCAGAGGGCATCAGGATAAGGAAAGGAAGCCTAAGGCACAGACTAGGAATTTTAGGGCTAGAGTTCTGGGTTTGGATCCCTGCTACATGTAATATTAATAGCTAACATTTATTGAGCACTTACTATGGGCCACAGATATGCTAAATACCTCTCATAGATTATCCCACTTAATCTTCAAAACAACCCTACAATGTAGGTATCATTGTTATCCCATTGCAGATGAGGACACTGAGGAATAGGACTTGTCCCAAGTCTCACATATCTTCTGACAGATCTGGGTTCGATCTCGGGGAGTCAGACTCCAGAGCTCTTGGACTTCATTTAGCCAGACCACTAAGTCTGCCAACCTGCTTCCTTATTTGGAAAGTTGAGGTACAGGGGGAGGTGGGCTGGGGTGGGTAATTGTCAAAGTCCTTTCCAACACAGACACTGTGATTTGGGGCTCCTGCCTCACCCGTGCATGCAGAGGTCCTGTGGAAATGATGCGGAGTACAGGATTCTGATGCAAAGCAGGCATGGGCCATGGTGTGTGTGTGTATGCGTAAGACAAGTAAATTCATGTCCTACAAATGTGATGACATGGAGGAGAGAATACGAACACCACAAGACCAGTGCACAGCCTTTAGGAAGACTTGCAGGTTAGACCTGAGTCAAAAGGACAAAACCAAGATCTTGAAAGTTCTACCCAACTCACTTCCATGTATTTGCATTTCCCTGCTCTTTGCTCCCAGTTTCACACTCATAGCCTCAGACTCCCTTAGCTAGATGGGCACCTTGCCAAGGAGCTTTGGCAAGGGCAAGGAGGTTCTCCGTGGATCCCCAACCCAGTACGTGTGTCTTTTTTGCAGGTCCAGTAACCATGGCCCATTACAAGGCTGAGCAGGATGACTGGCTGATGGTCTACCTGAAGTATTTGCTGTTTATGTTCAACTTCTTCTTCTGGGTAAGTGAATTCTGCACACACATACCACTACCCAGCACCAAATGAGTCAAGCTGCCTTTATTTCTTGTCAGGCACCACTCTGGGGGTGATTTATTATGAATCAAAGACCAAAAATTTGCCATGGGCAAATTTTGCCTACTTTAAAGCAAACATGTACATTTACTGCTGAGGGGGAAAAAAGAATCTGGCCTGCAGGTTGACAGGGGTCAGGAAAGGGTACACAAACACAAGAATGAGCTTCATGCTCCTGCTAGCTGGACAAATGGTCCAGCTCTTTCTTTCCTGTTAACTTGTTGCACTTGTGCCTTGTGGGAAACGTGACTGCCTGAAGTAATTGCCTGTTTCCCACTGAAGCCAATTTGCCTTTCATGGCTCACAGTCTCAGGTCTGGGCAGAGAGAAGAAAGTCCTGGGTGTTGGAGCTGCCTCTGTGTGAAATGGGAGTGGTCTCTACAGGGTCTTCCCTCAGAAAACCTGACAGGTGAGGTCTTCCAGGGTGGAGTCTGTCCACTTAAGGCAATTATCAGGATAATTGGAAGCAGACTATAATTAGTTCCAAAAAATAGTCACACATGGGAATATGTATATTTTGTGTTATCCTCACTAAATTTGGAGAGGCAGGGTACTCAGAGCACAGGCTTTGCGGTCAGCCAGACCTAGGCTGCACTGTTATTAATGCTGTGGCCTGGGGCATGCCACTGAAGTTGCCTGTCTGCCTCCCCAGCTGCAAAACAGGGATCTACACTCTTGGGGTTTGTTAAAACCAAGACAAAGGACCCAAAATGGAGTCACTTATGCCAGGCCCCACATCTCCAAGCTTAGACTTCGCTTAATTACAGTTTTGGCTCCCCAAGAAATGGAATCTTACACCAGGCAGTTGGGGATCCCCTGACCAGCCACAGTGAGGTCACCTGCCTGATGGACCCCTGTCACCTTCTAAAGGAAAATGACTGCAATGACCAACCCGCTTTTCTGCCTGGTATAACTTCCTCATTTCGGTTCCCTCCTGCCTTTAAAAGTCTTCCATGTTGTAGTCTCAGAGCTTCTTTGTATCTGCTAGATTGAACACTGCCTGATTTGAATTAATTTTTGCTCAAATAAACTCTTAAAATTTTTAATATGCTTCAGTTTACCTTTTAACAGTTCATTTAGCAGATACCATGAAATGGTATCTATTACGTGTTTAGCTCAGTCTCTGCACATAGAAGGCATTCGATAAACTCAATTATTTCAGATAGATTAGATGTAGAAGGCCTAAAAATACTACCAAATCAACCTGCTGATGAGGCAGAGCTGGGATGCCTGCTCACCATGGGAAGGGGTACATGCCCTTGACAGAGTCTTGGAAGGTCTCAGAAAGGCAAAGGCAGGAATGGGATTCATCTGCATTTTCAGATTCCTTAGGATTAATGAAATTGGTTATGATGACAAAGGATCATTGGTTCAGGGTTGGGGGACACAGCAAGGCAGGTGTTGCACAGACTGTCTACTTGGAGAGTAGACAGTCTTTTGATGATACTAAGAAGTCAAATATCTTGATGTTTTTTGCAAAGTTCCTGAAACAAACAATAAATTTATTTTATTTGCAACTTTTATCTTCCTAGGCAAGTGTTTCTTGGAACAGTGAAGTTGTGCTGATGGTTTCAATTCTTAGAGATAAATCCAGTAGTGAGCTTAGGATTCTTGCTGAGTGAGGATTGTTTTTAAAGAATAAGTATGCTTTTCCTGATCATAAAGTCCTATGTATCCAATACAAATAAGCTCAAATTCTGAAAAGTATAAATAAATAAATAAATAAATAAATAAATAAATAAATAAATAAATAAATAAAAATTTCCCATATCTCACTATATTAGGTTCCTAGGATTGCCAAAACAAAGTACTATAAGCCAGGTGGCTTTAACCAACAGAAATTTATTGTCTCACAACCCTGGGGGCCAGGAGTCAAAGTCAAAGAGTCAGCAGGGCCATGCTTCCAGCGAGACCCTGAGCAGAATGCCTCCTTGCCTCCCCCTGGCCCCGGGGGTGGCTGGCACTACTTGGGTGGCAGCTGCATCACTCCTCCAATCTCTGCCTCACATGCTATTCTTCCTGAGTCGCTGTCTTCACATGGCATTTTCTTCTTCAGCAGGACCACCCTGATGACTTTGTTGTCATTTAACTACATCTGCCAAGATCCTATTTCCAATTAAGGTCACATTCACAGATAGTAGGGTTAGGACTTGGAACAAATCTGGGGGGACACAATTCACCCATAATACTCACTATCCCAGGAATGACCATTGTTGCTGTTCCCTCTAGACTCTGTCCTAACTGGGACAAGAGATGGTGGTAACCTGCACTATGGGAGTGACAAGGGAAGGAAACGCTTGGAGACAGTCAAGGGATTTAGGAAGTAAAATGACAAGAATGGGTCATTAATTAGATGAGATTAAGACAGAGTAGTGTTAGAATATATAGCTCTTGGGTTGATGGTGGAGCTCTTCATTGCAACGGAGGCCAAATGGCAAGTCAGATGCAGGCATGGTGAGTGACATCTGAGCAGAGATGCTCATTGGGCAGTTAGCTCATGGCTCTGGGTGTCAGATGGGGATCAGCCCCACCAGACAAAGGTTGTAGCCATGGAAATGGGTGAGCACCTTTGGGAGACAGGGGACTCTGAGAAGACAGCAGAGGTAAGAGTGAGACATGGAGCAACCCAACTGGGCAGGGTGAGTCTAGGGTGAGCGATGATCTCCATTTGCCCTGGACGGAGGGGCTCCCAGTTGTGGGGCTTTTAGTGCTGGAACCAGGAGAGCCTCAGGCAAAGCCAGAAATACACCTAGAGGGATTGGAGGAGGGAGAGTCTAAGCAGTAGGAAGAGAACCAGGAGAAACAGTGTTATACAAGCTGGACAGCGGGGAGGGGCAAAGGACACATCAAGCATTTTAAGGCCTAGAGAGTGGCTGTTGGTTTGGCCACATGGTTTATTGGTGGCTGCGGTGAGAGCACTGTCAAGAGAGTGGTGGAGTGGAGGTCAGGAGGTGCAGGCTCAGTGTAGACAATGCCCACTGGGCACAGGGAGAAGCAGGGAGGGGGCAGAGGGCAGTTGCAAGTTGCTCAGGCAGACTGTCTTTAGAAGGGCCCTGATGTGGCATGTCCTGCTGGGCCAAGGTCTCCATAGGAGGGAACAGGGCTAAATGTGACCACGTGGAGGGCCCCTTGCAGCCAGAGTGGACTCAGAGTGTTGGGTGTTCACACTCCTTTGGAACTGGCAAGAAGAAGGACATGTGGGTGGCAGCACAGGCAGATGGGCAGCAATCATGTTTCCAGAGCAGCTACCAATGAGGGGAGCGTACCCCATACACAGCTCCCTGCTTTGAGTCAAAAATAGCCCTGCCTGCGGCCTGGCTGGGCGTGGACCAGCTTCTTAGGGACCAACTCAGCCGAGCCTCATCTTCTTTCTGGGGACGGTCACCAGTCCTGGGCTCCTGGCATCTGTCCCCTGGACCTGCTATGATCTCAGAAGTAGATAAGGGCACACTATTGGCCCATGTCTCCCACATTACCACATTCTGCAGTGCATCAAGTCCCTGGGAATTTACCAGAATTCTCCAGGATGGGCCTTGTCCCTGAGGACCTCTCTCTCCCTCCCTCCCTCCCTGCAACACCCCACAGAGTCCAGCTGCTGGTTCTCGCCCCAGAGCTCCCATATGACACATAGCAGTGCTAGCGACTACATTGATGGTCACCACCCTAGCCACAGGCTTCCCACCCTTCTGCCTTCTTCATAGAATCATAATGCATCAACCACCAGCACTTATAGATGGCACCAGCTGGTAAGCTATTCACCTTCTCACACACCACTAGGGCACAGATGCAGTAAGTGAGCCTGGACAGCAGAGGTTGATTCTCCCGGCTTGTGACTGGGGTGAACCCTCTGACTTCCCTTATCCTCCAGAACAGTGTTCCTGTATCAAATATCACCTTGCCACACTCTGAAAATCCAGCACAGAGGGCCTAGGGAGCCCAGCTCTTTCTTCCCTGGTCATGATGCCCAGCATTTGTGAAGCACTGCTGGATAAAGACCTTCCGCAACTATCTGGTGACCCTCACATCAACTCTGATGGTCAGGGTCACTATTATCCTCATTTTGCCAACAGGAAACAGGCTCACCCAATTCAGCATCTTGCCCAGAGTATTATAATGGTGATAAGCAAAGCTGGTGCCCACAAACCAGGTTGTCTGATCACTAATGACAATTGCAATGTTTACTAAGCACATAGTAAGTCCCAGCACTGTTCTGGGCACTTGGGACATATCAGTGGGTGGAGTCCCCAACTTTTACAGACTTACTGCTATAGGCTTCCTCTCTGCTTATCCTTCCACTTGCATCATCCTACCTAATTCTCCTGGCATGCTGACACTGTGAACAACTCTCTTAGAGCCCCATTTTATAGCGTGCAGAGAAATTTGCCCGAAGTCCAGGAGCTGGATCCCAGCTCTCTGTGACTCCTTCAGCCTGCGTGCTTGGCTACCAGGCTCTGTTGCCTCCAGCTCTAAGTCCCACTCTTTCCTGCAGTGTCTTTGGGAGCATACGTGGATTAGTGAGGCAGCAGAGCATTCTGGGAAGACTGAGGCTCCAGCTGGGATTGAAATTCAGATCCCAGTATTATTCGCCATGTGACATGTGCTGTGGACTTAATTGTGATCCCTCAGAATTCGTATGCTCAAATTGTAACCCCCAATGTGACTGTATTTGGAGGTGAGGACTTAGCAGGTAATTAAGGTTAAATGCGGTCATTAGGGTGGGGTCCTAGTCTAGCAGGATTGTAGCCCCACAGTGGAGGAAGAGAGAGATCTCTCTCTAAGCATGCACAGAGGAAAGGCCTCGTGAGAGCACAGTGAGGAGGCAGCTGTCTGTCAGCAAGGAAGACAAACAGCAAGGCTGTTTGTCTCTCAGCAAAACCAGATCAGCTGTCTGGGGACTTCCAGTCCCCGTAACCATGAGAATTAGAAGAA